GATAGGTCATTCCAAGATCCAAGAAAAGCTGGAATGATTTGTGTTTCTGCTTCTTATTTTCGTCAAGAACATGGACCTTAGTGCTGAGACTGATTCAATGTTCTTTTTATTCAACGAAAATATTTTCATATCGGAATAACTCTCGTTTGACGATGACAATATTTATTGAAATAGATGTACTTTGCTTTGCACCATATGATTCACGCCTTTTTTTGTTGTTGTTGTTGGAGTTGCGCGAAAAAAAAAGTGCAACTCGGAAGAAATAATTTGGATTTGCCAACACGTTGCTAGTTGATTTCGAACTAATTCTTCAATAAAACTAATGCTGACCATTTAAAATTTGACGCTCCAAATGGTGTCAAAACTTTATTCCAAATCGTCGCCTGACGTTTTTGTCTTGTCCATGTACAAGAACATTATTTATTGCTCTATACCTGCAGTATTTGCCCAACCCGTGTCAGAAGCTATGGTGTGATGATAAATCATATGGTCACTACTGCAGAACCAGGAATACCCCACCACTTGAAGGAACTACTTGCGGCGAGCGAATGGTAAGATATTGAACATATGTATGTATTAGCAAGAGAAAATGACCTCAGAGAAGGAATCTCTGGTATCCATGCTTGTCGCCATCATAGGCACCATTTGATGCTATTTTTAGAATCACTTTCATTTGCTATCGTTTAATTTTTTGCACGCGCAGAATTTGTTTTTCTGCAATTGAGTCTGAATAGTGAAGTACTAAGTATATGGATTAATCGTTTTACTGAAGTGGTGTCGGCTTGGAAAGTGCGTTCCCATGACAAGTGACGGTACATTCGAGGTCCCCACCCCCAAACCAACTCCCAAGCCTATCGATGGAGGCTGGTCATCATGGAGTGCTTATGGACCATGTTCTAAGTCGTGTGGTCAAGGAGTGAAGGTGCGAGCCAGAAGCTGCACCCTCCCCAGGTGTGTTAATAATTACTTCTTCGTCGTTCATCATCATCATCATCATCAACAACATCATCGTCATCATTGTCATTATCATTATCATCATCATTTTCATTTTCAATTTCATATTTATCATCATCACCATCATTATCGTCGCTATTATCATCATCATCATCCTCATCGTCTACGTCATCATTAGTATCAGCATCATTATCAGATTCTCATTCATTATCATTATCTAATAAAAACTATTATCAAACTCAAGAATAATTAATGAGGAAAACACTCATACTGTATGTATTACTTAATATCCGACATTATTTTGATTATGTTGCGTGTATGACAACAAAATATTTTTAAATGGCGCATAAATTATTTTATCACGTAGTTGATTGGCTGTGTCTATTTTCCCTGCATGCTTTGGCGTGGCGCTAAAGTCACTGTTGAGGTATATCTCACTACCAATAGACGGCAGTTTTCCATATGAGGCGATGTTTCACATTCAGACGATTAAGCTTTTGAATACTTGCAGAAGATATATAAAAAATGGAAAAATGATAATAATACATAGGTTCTTATAAGCCTTTTCACAGTTTAAGAATCGATTCCACTGCGCATGCGATTTTATCCCGAATTTCTACCTTCTTTTGTCTAAACCTTCTTTTGTTCTTAATTTAACAAAAGAAGGTGAGAAATTCGGGATAAAATCGCATGCGCAGTAAAATCGATTCTTAAACTATGAAAAGGCTTATTGTTTTCCCTTCTCAGCCCCAAGTTCAATGGCAAGAAGTGTCAGGGGTACACCGTTGGAATTTCATTCTGCCAAATTAAGGTGTGAGAGTGCGACGGAGTGGATTTTGATGAACGTCAAAGAAAGTGTTTCCATGAAATTCAATCAGCAAGTGCATTGTGTTTTGATACTTTTTCTGGACAAAAATACATTTGTTTAAAAGCGCGTGCCTGTTGAATATCATATGCACACCGTAGATGATGTCCACCAAAACCATTAACGACGACGTCAACGATTCCACAATTTTAAACCCAAACGTTATCCATGCACATTTGTACAGTAAATAACTTTGACTTTAGTGCTAATAATCGAAAAACCGTTTGCACTTAGAAATATTCTGGGAATGTTTAATTGTTGTTAATCAGAATTAGATTTCTAACCACAAGATAACGGAAAGACAACAGTAAAACTTCTATCTGATTTGTTAAGAAACGTTCTTCAAGGGCGGATCCAGCCAATATTTTAGGGGGGGGGGCTCATTGAGTTGGGGGGGGGGGCTAACTGAGTTTCTTCCGCCAACACAACGGAAAACAATATAAAAAAGCATGGTTTTTTTCAGCGGAAGGGGGGGAGGGGCTTCAGCACCCCCCTTTGCATCCCCCCCTGGATCCGCCCCTGTTCTTGGAATTTTCCAAAAGTGCCCAGGGTTTCTCAAATAGCACTGTTTGTAAGTCAAAGCTATTTATTGACTGATTTTTTAAAATCATTTTCTTTCGTTATTTCTTTTGTTATACCAACATGGCCGCCATTTCTTTCGTTACTTTATTTATTTCTGTTCTGTTTTAGCTCTGCTCTGGTAGCATACCATCATTAAGGCAAACAAGAAGTCATCAATGTCAGAAAAGGGGAACAAAAAGCGAATGGTTCTACTATGACGTATACAGAGGTACAAATAATTGGTTTAAAATCCTTACAAAAATTAAATCMAAAAAAAAAAAATCAAAAAAAGACTATATCCTTAAAATAAGTAGCACTAAACACATCTATTTTTCCCATTTTGTTTTCAATTGTTTCTTTGGGCTATTTTGTACTCATTAGTTATAACTATTTCACGGATTTACTGTTTATACTCTATTACAAATTGATACAAGTATTACCTAGATTTCCCCCAGGATATAAATGGCAAAGCAAGTGTAGATTCTCTGTACATATGTATTTTTATCTTGTTAGCTTCGCTGGACTGTGATTTTGAGGATGGGTTGTGTGGATGGCTTCAAGATGACAGCGATGAGTTTGACTGGACGCCAATTCAAGGGAAGACACCTTCATCTAAGACAGGACCTATTCATGACCACACAAAAGGACCTACAGGGAAAGGTATGAACGTATACACCTATTTGAAAAAACGTTGTTGCTCTGAAACCTTAAGGGTGACTATCACCCGTCTGAAAATATTCTCAGTATTGATTCCACATGGGATAAGATTTTGAGTAAACTTGTTAATAAATAAAGTCTAAGTCTAAGATAATTGAATATTTTTAGATTAATTCAAGTGTGTTTTTTTTTTTTCCTCTCCCAGGCACCTATTTATTTATCGAGACATCCCGACCTACTAATGTTGGTTGGAGGGCACGTCTTGTCAGTAGACTTGTCGCAAAGCACGTGTCTTGTTTGTCATTCTGGTATCATTCTTTTGGCGACGATGATCATTTTGGAGCCTTGGAGTTGCATTTAAATACAACCACAAAAGAAAAGGTCATATGGGGGCAATCAGGCAACAAAGGAAATCAATGGAAACATAAACTTGTGACAATCCTCAGTGTGATGCCTTATAGGGTGAGCTGACAAATACTCTTAGCAGGCCTTTTTGTAATTTTAATTAGAATTAAACTATTCTTTCTTTCTTCTTTTTTTTTTTCCTTTTTTTTTTTT